GTTATCCGTACATAGTAGCGTTTATATCAGAGCTCCGTATGGACTGGGCTGGACTCAAATTTTTTGGATTTCATGGACTCGGACTGGACTGGACTCAATACAGAGCTCTGATATAAACGCTACTATGTACGGATAACCTAACAGAAAAGAAAATAATTTTTATTTTATATTATAGAAAAAGCATGGAAAGCTATAACGTTAGTTATGCATCTCATCTCTACAGTTAACCGACCGGTCAAACTAGTTCCAGACTGCTCAATGCATGGGAAGGATATAAAGAAGATTATTGCTTATTCTGCTGGTGTAAACAAACTATTTTGAGATACTTCAGCTGACTTTTGTAATAGTCTAATAATTACGGGAATTTTGTAAAAATGCTTCGTTACGATGAACCTACGCTTGTGTGGATGAACCTCTGGAAGAATTTTCGTATAAAACATGAATACTTTAGTATTGGACTGCTTCGTATGAAACTGTCAAAAGCATAAAGAACAAGCTTACCAGGAAAAACTCGGATCAAAGCTGTTGGTGTTGATTATATATAATCAAGTCTAAAAAGCCTTTTTGTACTATTCATTCTCTACAGAAAAGAAATCCAACTGTTTTCAATTTTACGTACTAGGAAACGTTACTACATTGTGATTCTATTTCTTTTTACACTGAAGAAATCTGATCTTGATTATGAGACAAAATGACTGTTTCTGAAAAGAAAATTCATTTAGTTTTAGGCATTGAGCATTGAGCAGCGTTTTAAAACCGTAATTTAAAAGCTGCAAAGACACTTGAATAAACTTATAAATCAATTTTACTACGAATAGAAAGAAGGCAGAAAAGTACAACCCTTTTGTAGATTCGACCCTGCCAGAGGGTCATACTTTCTGCTTTCTCCTATTTTCTCCTTTTTTCATTTTTGAGAGTTAAATCTGCAAGATTTAATTTTCTAAATTCTGTGTGTTGGGATCAGATTTTCAGAAATCGTTCGTCCGGGTAAAACGCAGTAAATATTGTTTTTGATCCTGAAGATCTGTACTCAGTTAAACCCAGCAGATAAAATTTAGGAAATTAAATTTGTCATATTTTTGTCTCTAAACTCATCTTTGGAAAACCCTTTCTTCATGGCGAAAACCTGAAAATGAGGCAAAAAGATGGTATTTCTGATTTTTCACCATGAAGGAAGAGTTTTCCAAAGGTGAGTTTAGAGACAAAAATATGACAAATTTAATTTCATAAATTTTATCTGCTGGGTTTAACTGTGTACAAATCGACAGTTTTTTATCCAGAAGAACGATTTCAGAAAATCTGGTACCAGCACACAAAATTTAGAAAATTAAATTTGCTATATTTTATGTTGCAGATTTAGCTCTCAAAAACGTTCTTTTCAAAGAGAAAACACAAATCTCTAAAATATGTTCTGAATGATTTCATCAATCATCAACTGCTACATGTGTGCCTGGTAGCTTAGTTGGTTAAAACGTCGCGTGTACTTCTAATCTCAATTCCGAGTGCGCTAGTCCGCGAGTTCGATTCTCGTGAGGCACATATTCTTTTTTTCTTATTTTTGAAGCTAGCTTAGAGTGCCCGTTTAACCGGGCGCTCCAGTCATCGGGTTAACCGGGCACTCCAACTACTCGGTTAATCGGGCACTCCAACCATATTTACTGTGACATACACTCAAGATTTGAATAGAAAAATTCCATCTTGAATGTATTGAATACAAGAAATCTTAAGAACATTTTACCAGCATTTTTTGTCATGACATAATGTTAAATAACTTTGACAGCTCTGCATATTTTACTTAAAACTTGTGTACTTACAGAGTGTGCTTGTGTACAGTGGATCTGTGAAATGATACAGTGTAATATATTCTAAAGTAAGTGATGGACCAATAGAAATTTGCTCTATAACAATTCCCAACTTTGCTTGTACGGTAATATCAAAATTAATTGATAGAACTCCAACAGCATCATACTCTGATGGATTTGTTTTATTTTGAACAAGACTAATGTCATATCTTAAAGAAGGAGTTAATTGCAGTGTACCAGTTATAACAAATTCTAATGTTACAGATAGAACTACTTGAAACCCAAGGCTCGCTGAACCTTTTAAACCGAATGATACTGTTGGCGTATAGAATTGCTGTATAGCAGGATCAGATTGGGTGTAAATAGCTAGACATAAAGGATATCCGAAAATACTTTCACTTTTTAGCTCTTCTTTTAATGTATTTATGTTTATTCCCTACTTGGCTATCTTTAAAGAAGATAAGTGAATGCACTAGTTTCCACCACCAAAGTGTTTAAGGATGCCTCTCCGTTCTGACGCTTCTGAGGTACGGCTTGTTGCAAAGATGCGAAACTTTCAGCGATTATAGATCTTGATAAGTTATGAAAAAGCTCTGCCTGGGTGAACTTTTCAGAATTTGTCGTTCCGGAGAGACACAACAGTCAAAAATGGCAAAACTTATCACCCCACCTAGATCTCGAACGATGTAACTTCTGAGGTTGAGATTTTTAGCATACATAGACGAATCCATATGAGATTGTGCGTTTAGCAGCAATTATCTTAGAGAGAAGTTGTTTGGAAGATATATCGCTCGAAAATAAAAAGTAACATAGTTGACAGAAGAGTACGACAAATAACAGTCAAATATTGGAACTGATCGATAGCATCGACTCAAAAATACATAGAATCTGCCAACTAAAGCCTATCATCTTCGAATAACAGTTTGAAACTTATACTGAAAAAAATTTTGATGTACGTATAGGGAGGGAGGAAGAATTGGGACAAGTCTCGACGAAGAGCAACGGGTACAAGCCTCTAGGATTCTGCCAGACATTCTTTAGGTATGACTCTAAACCACTTACTGCCCCATTTGTATATTGTAGGCCAGCTTGAGCTGTTTTTGAATAACTAACACCAGTGGTCAAGGTAGCAGCTAAAGTAAGACCAATACCATATGTTATTACTAAATCTGCAGCAACTTGTATATTAACTGGAATGAATGCAATAAAAAATGTGAACGATACTGTTACTGAGGCACCTGGCACTGCGTAAGTATTTGAGTAAGAATATGAACCACTTGCAGTTATTGCTAGAATCAGATCTGCTTCAAGTGTTCCAGTAATGGCTAATAGTACTTTATCAAGTTGACCATCGGTAATTTGCAGTTGAAATATAAAACCAGGAATGAAAACTGCATTACATGTTGAACAAACCACTGTTACTTGTGTTTGAACACTTTGATACTTGCCACCAAACGACAATAGTGTTAAGCCAGATACGCGAAAATCAAGACCGCCTTTAAAAAAAGAATATAATCTTATTACGTTCACGAATGCAATTAATTAGACAGCTTTATTCTAGTTAAATGCTTTAGCTGAAACTAACGGAATAAAACATTTTTGAAGTAGATTGACCACGTTTAATACCACAATATTCACAACAGCATACGTTTGAAGCAGACATTGCATACGTAAGAAGAAGGTTAATTGAAAACGAAGTGCACCTATTTACTTTGGATTTATCGGGAAAAATACGTATAGAAAATTAATGAATGGAGGAACAACGCCATATGTACAATTTATTCTTCGATTAGATACAGTTATAAAGATTCATGTTGCTTACGGTCATATCGGATCCGTAGTACGTGTGAATTATTACACACACGTACTTGATGACCAAATATGAAAAACGACATTAAAGAATTGCACTCTCTCACTCTTGTAAGCGTATTTCATCGTCTGAGTCAGGATCGCTGGTCAACTACCGTTAACTGATCGAGGAAATAGATGGATTTTAGCAGCAATTGAGCATACAACAAAATACCTGATAGCTAAAGCAGTGTCACGTGCAACGCATATAACTGCGGCTAAATTTATTCAGGATGAAATTGTAATGCATTTCGGATGTTCAACAGAAATAATGACTTATGGAAGAAATAACTTTACCACAAAAACACTCGAATCATGTCTGCGAGTGCTTGGAATTGGACGTGTTTTAACATCAGCATATCATTCACAATCAGATGGAGCTGTTGAAAGATTTAAACCTTTATTCAGCTGGCATCCCACTCCGCCTCTTTTTCCTCTTTTTTTTTATAAATCCTCTTTTTGGCCTCTTTTTTGGGAAAAATCCTCTTTTTCCTCTTTTTTTCTAAAAATCCTCTTTTTCCTCGAACA